ACAAAGTCGATTATAATCAATGATTGAAAATGTTAATCATCGATTAATCATCAGCTATCGAGGAATACAAATCCCAGCAATACATTATACTGTATGTATACAGTATGTTATACTGTATGTATAATGTATTGCTGGGATTTGTTGTACTGCTCTATAGCTGGTGGTATTCTGCATTGCGCTGTATAGAGGACTACAAATCCCAGCAAAAGTACATTATACAGCGCAATGCAGAATACCGCCAGCTATAGAGGACTACAAAACCCAGCAATAGTACATTATAACTGGCAGTATTCTGCATTGTGCTGTATAATGTACTATTGCTGGGATTTGTTGTTCCTCTATAACTGGTGGAATTCCGCATTGCGCTCTAATGTACTATTGCTGAGTTTTGTAGTCCTCTATAGCTGGTGGAATTCCGCATTGCACCACTGTATAATGTATTATTGCTGGGGGTTGAAAGGCCGTGACTGTGTCAGTCGGGCGGAGATTGGGGTCCTGGGTATAGCAGGCCAGGTGGTCAGTATTGGATGTTGGGGACGGGGTCCATGTTGGGGTGGTGAGGGACTTCTGCTCAGTGTCGGGTGTTGGGATCCTTTTGAGGTCCCTGGCAAGTCAGTATCGGGTGTTGGGGGGTCTCATGTGGGTCAGTGAAGGTGTAGGGGCCCAGTCCCAGTTGGATGCTTGGACTTGTAGTTCCTTAGCTGATATGTGTGGGGGGTACAGTTCCAGTGGATGTTCATATAATTGGGGGGGGGTGTTTTTGTGCCTTGGGCGCCCATAACTCTGGTTACGCCACTGCACTGCCGTCTCTCTGGTAGGAGCAGAGCCATCGTACTGAGTCATTGTGATAACTCTGCTTCCAAATAGCATTCAGAAGCACAGCCTCTATCACTGAGAACTCTGCTCCCGAATGTCAACAAATAGGCAAGTGACGTCACGACTCGCTCCGCGCCCGTCATTGAGGTCAGAGCTGTCATTTTGCAATAATGTTCGTCGGGATTGGTCATGTCAGCGGGCGTCGGGTATTTTTTCTTTTTCGGTGAGTCGGAGGCCTTTGTCCTTCATGATTGACGTGGATCTACATCAAATGGATGATGTGACTGACGATGGATTACGTTGATGGACTTTTTGTTTGTTTTTTTAAATAAAGGAATTGTCAAAAAACTTTGTATTCACTGTCTCCACAACCACTGGGTCAGGGTTGTGGGGAAGAGGCTCTTGTCGTTATTGACATGGGGACGAGGTGCTTTTCCAGGGGGTGCCGCCCCTTGCAATTGTAAAGGGCATGCAGCCTGGTTTGGTGCAGGTGGGTGGGGCGCACACTCATCCACCTCCCTGATAAGGGATTTTAGGAGGACCTCATGCTTTTTTTTTTACCTAAAGAGTTTGGTATGAATGGGGGAGGGGACTCCACGCTATTTTTTTTTTAATGTTTAACAACAAAAGTTTATTAAGAATGCCATTCAGAAAAATTTTCGGATGCATCCGAATTTCATTATGAGACAATTCGGATACGTTCAGATTCGTTATTTCTTTCATTTGGACGCATTTGAATGTCCGAAATTTCCGAAAAGTAAGTCAAATTTCTTTTATCATGCAGCCTAAACCTTCTGGCCATGAAAAGGGTGAAATTCATGCCCTAGATGACACATGGACTTAGCACTTTGATCTTGCAAGACCTCAGAAATTTGTTTTATGATCAACATTCAACAATTACTACTTACCGAGCGCTCACTATAACTTCTCAGGAAAGTCCGTCTCGCCTGAAACTGAGAAATGAAAATGTATGAAGACAGACTCATAGAACACATTGAGCTACCTAGAGGTAAATAGGCCGTTCACTTTGCAGGGGAATTTTCACTTAGAATAGTGAATGTGGCGAAAATTCACTTTGCAAAGAATACCCAATCACGTGCAAGGAAAAGGAAAAAAAAAACAGCTTTTTTGCACATGATTGAATGATAGAAGTCAGCAGAGGTTCACGTCATTCACCGTCATTCACCAAGCTGAGGGAAAATTCCCTTGCAAAGTGAACAGACTATTTGCCTTTAGTAAATCAACCGCAGTGTGACTTATTTATAAAACAAGTTAAATTTCTACACGTTATCAAAAACATGCAATTTTCCTAAATAGTAACTTTGCAAAATAAAAGCGTGCATTTATAACACACAGATTTGTAACAAAACAAAGAATGTTCATACCGTACTGTGGTACCTCGGTTCACGAACCTAATTCGTTCCACGATTCTGGCCGCGAACCGAATTGGTCGCGAACCGAATCAAACAGTGACCAGACCGCCATCTCGATTAGAGGAAGCCACGACCACGTGTCAGAGCAGGGAACATGGCTGCGGTTGTGTTCGTCGCCCAATGCGGAGTTCGTGAACGGAAGCAAAATTTTGCCGATCTTTCTGTTCGCGAACCGAGGTACCACTGTATATTGTTCTGTTTCCCCCTGTGCTGGTGATAGAATGTCCCCAATTCTCACTGATATAAGGAATACATGTATACAGTATGTGTGGCATCAGTGCTGCGAAGGGTATGCAGAAGTATACAACACATGTAATCCTTCACTATTCACTTCTCTTATCTGATCCATTAAAATAATACTTGGAAATGAGTTTAATCATCTGAGTCATCATTACCAAAACACAAAGTAACTTCCCACTGCATGTGGATAATCATTTCTAGGTTCTTTATCAAAATAAAATCATCATCAGAATCCTCATGATGTCGAAATCAGACGATCCAAACGCCAACATCCAACTTCAATACTATGATATACTCCAGGGATCGGCAACCTCGGCACTCCAGCAGTTGTGGAACTACAAGTGCCATGAGGCATTGCAAGACTAATAGCCTCAGGCATGACTCCCAGAGGCAGATGGATAATGGGATTTGTAGTTTCAGCACAGCTGGAGGGCCGGAGGTTCCCCACGCCTGCTTTAAGAGGAGGTGCAGAGGCTGCCTGTATTGGGTAAGTTATCCTTATTCCCTTCTGAGAGCAGAAATTACAGTTCATCTACAATTTCCTTATGTAAAGTATCTCACAGAAGTGAGTACACCCCTCACATCTTTGTAAATATTTTATTATATCATTTCATGTGACGACACAGAAGAAATTACACTTTGCTACAATATAAAGTAGTGAGTGTACAGCTTGTATATCAGTGTACATTTGCTGTCCCCTCAAAGTAACTCAACACACAGCCATTAATGTCTAAACCGCTGGCAACAAAAGTGAGTACGCCCCTAAGTGAAAATGTCCAAATTGGGCCCAATTAGCAGTTTTCCCTCCCCGGTGTCATGTGACTCGTTCGTGTTACAGGGTCTCAGATGTGACTGGGGAGCAGGTGTGTTAAATTTGGTGTTATCGCTCTCACTCTCTCATACTGGTCACTGGAAGTTCAACATGGCACCTCATGGCAAAGAACTCTGAGGATCTGAAAAAAAGAATTGTTGTTCTACATAAAGATGGCCAAGGCTATAAGAAGATTGCCAAGACCCTGAAACTGAGCTGCTGCACGGTGGCCAAGACCATACAGCCGTGTAACAGGACAGGTTGCACTCAGAAAAGGCCTGGCCATGGTCAGCCAAAGAAGTTGAGTGCACATGCTCAGCGTCATATCCAGAGGTTGTCTTTGGGAAATGACGTATGAGTGCTGCCAGCATTGCTGCAGAGGTTGAAGGGGTGGGGGGTCAGCCCATCAGTGCTCAGACCATACGCCGCACACTGCATCAAATTGTTCTGCATGGCTGTCGTCCCAGAAGGAAGCCTCTTCTAAAGATGATGCACAGGAAAGCCCGCAAACAGTTTGCTGAAGACAAGCAGACTAAGGACATGGATTACTGGAACCATGTCCTGTGGTCTGATGAGACCAAGATAAACTTATTTGGTTCAGAGGGTGTCAAGCGTGAGTGGCGGCAACCGGGTGAGGAGTACAAAGACAAGTGTGTCTTACCTACAGTCAAGCATGTTGGTGGGAGTGTCATGGTCTGGGGCTGCATGAGTGCTGCCGCCACTGGGGAGCTACAGTTCATTGAGGGAACCATGAATGCCAACGGGTACTGTGACATACAGAAGCAGAGTATGATCCTCTCCCTTCGGAGACTGGGCCACAGGGCAGTATTCCAACATAATAACGACCCCAAACACACCTCCAAGGCGACCACTGCCTTGTTAAAGAAGCTGAAGGTAAAGGTGATGGACTGGCCAAGCATGTCTCCAGACCTAAACCCTATTGAGCATCTGTGGGGCATCCTCAAACAGAAGGTGGAGGAGCGCAAGGTCTCTAACATACACCAGCTCCGTGATGTCGTCATGGAGGAGTGGAAGAGGACTCCAGTGGCAACCTGTGAAGCTCTGGTGAACTCCATGCCCAAGAGTGTTAAGGCAGTGCTGGAAAATAATGGTGGCCACACAAAATATTGACACTTTGGGCCCAATTTGGATATGTTCACTTAGGAGTGTACTCACTTTTGTTCCCAGCGGTTTAGACATTAATGGCTGTGTGTTGAGTTATTTTGAGGTGACAGCAAATGTACACTGAGATACCGCTGTGACATCTGTGTCTGTCTAGTTTTTTCCTCCATCCTGTCCGGACCCCATGTTGGTCTCTGGGGAATTGGATATGTGTCCGTTTACATCACATTATCCCCAATCTGGCACAATCAGGTCTGGTGAAATGGATCTCTGATTCGTTTGTCTTTCCGGACCTGGCCGAAGATGGGGGTAGCCGGACACCCGTCCATTTACACACGGCTATCATAGACTAGCATTGGGCACCTGATCGGGTCCATTTGAAAAACTGAGCGGCTGACCCGATCGGACCAGCCACGTGAAAGGGGCCTAAACGTTTTTTTTTCTTGTTCTTTTCTGTATTGGAAGGCATTTCTTTTTTTTACATTTTGCTTTGTATTAAATTCTGTAGGGAGCCACTTGGGCTCATAGGGTTCCTGAGGGCCCTCTGATAATTCAATGAGTCTATCATTCCCAACATACTACTCAGTGTTTCCCGATCTTTCCAGTATAATGAAGAATATCAATGTTATAACCGAGATCAATGAAGCAGACAGCAGAGCAGCGCGCACTGATACTTTATAATAGTTGGGTTCTAAAAGAAACAATAAAACACAAAATTAAATATTCATTATGAGTAAGAATGAAATACATCATTTTATGCTCTGCATAGCAAAGCTGAACAATCAGAGAAATGGACCGATGAAATACATATAACTAGGGATGCACTGAAACCGTTTTTCGGTATCGAGTACGAGTACCGATATATATTTTTCTGTACTCGCCGATACCGAGTGCCGATACCAGAAGTCCCATTAAGGAAGCCAGGCGGCGTGTAAAGACCCACCACCGGGTTCCCGATTAGCAGGGAAGCCGTCTTCATGCTCTCTCATCACCAGGTGATGAGGAAGCATGGAGCCGGCTTTCTGGCCAATCAAAGTTGATACAAAGTCTAATTCAGGTAGTTACACTGCTTGCATTACAAAAAAATAATTTTTCTAGTTCTCCTCAGGATCACAGGGGGACATAAACTAGCATCCTCCCTTGACCCAAAGCTCAGTATGCCGCGAGCTACAGCTTGTGGTTTACTGAGAATGCCGCAGCCAGGAAGGATCCCGACATTACTGTCTGGATCCACCCAGCTGCGTGATTGACAGCTGGCTCTGAATATCTAGAGGCAGAGCCAGCTGTACCCGCCCCCTCCCCCGTCCGTTCCGCCAGTCAGTGCTGGAGGATGGGAGAGGGGAATCCCTGTGGGGAGTGGTGAGTGACAGTCACGGCTCTCTGCAGTGACAGGATCGAGAAGTGAGCGAGCAACGGTTTGTGTTCACTCACTTCCCGATCTATTGAGCCGACCTGTGACAGTTTAATTATCACACGTCGGCTCGAACTATGAGGCTGAGTAAAAATCACTCACCTCGTAGTTCTCCTTTTAATGTTATGTTGATACATTAATACTCTTGTTATCTGCAAGGCAAAATTACCAGTTGCTTAAGCGTGTAATCATTCACTGAGCACAGCCCCATAGACTCTACTCTGGTCAGTTTTGTAAGGCTTTAGGACAGGGAGCTTCAAAAGACCACATCATAAACCAGCATTGAATTTCGAAGTCCTCAAGCACAGCGAGCATGTTATAGATTGAATTAGAAAAGACGGATTTGTTGTTTTCATAATTTACAGAAAGTTCAGCTCCGAAAGTTCAGCTCCGCCTTTAAAAAACGAACAAAGAATTTGGGGCCGAGCAGATATTTAAATGGGGGGAAAAAAAGCATGATGTTGAGTTGAATGACACCCAACATCATCAAACCCACTTCTTGTAAGCCCAGGCTGTCATGGACACTCCCCCTGAGGGCACGTCATCATGCCACCCTGGGCTCACAGTACTCCTAAAAAATAAAAGAAGCTGGAGCTCGGCTTTAACAATGTATAGTAATTGCAGGATGTGACGCGTAGGACAAGCTCAGAATTACTTCTGACTTCTATAAACTTTTTTCACTCACCCCATTTCACAGTGAGAACATCCTCCAAGCTGCTGTGATCTACATGGCAGGAGTAAGTGTCTCCATCCCTTGTTGGTACTTCTGCGCTGACTCTGATCTGATAGGTGCCATCAGGATGGGGGAGAATTGGACTCATTTCATCTGAAGGAACATCATCTACCCCATTCCTCACCCACTTCACATGCACAGCCCGGGGGTGAAACCCGTACACCAGGCACTGAAGTCTTGTCACCTTGTCGGACTCATGATGACCCCACACCTTCACCTCTGGATGCACTGAGAAAAGTATAAAGGATAAGTACACTTTAAAAACAAAAAAAGTGCATTTGCCCCCTCCCTTGCCCTAACCCCCCCACCCCCACCCCTCCACAGATATATACATGGTTTTGCTGTTTACATCCAGCGGTGCAAGTCTTTATTGTCCTGGCTGCGCCCGTCACGTTAGAGATGCACCAATACCGTTTTTTTATATTGAGTACGAATACCGATATTTATCTTTTGGTACTCACTGATACCGAGTACTGATACCGGTATATCCGCCAGCATTGAGCCGGGTTCCTGGCCAATCAGGAAGCCAGGTGGCCTGTCATTACCCTTCCTGATTGGCCGAGCAGCCGGCTCCATGCTGTTTGGCCGGCTCCATGCTGATTGGCCGGGAAGCTGACTTCCATGCCAATCAGGAATACAGGAGGAGGGTCATTACCCACCACTTGGCTTCCTGCCTGGCCAGGAAGCTGGCTCCATGCTATTTGGCCAATCAGTTTTGAAATACATATAACTAGGGATGCACTGAAACCGTCTGGAAGCCGGGTGGCGACTCATTACCTGTCAGGAAGCCGGCTCCATGCTCCCTCGCGGCACTGCCAGTCAGAGGAAATCTCCCTCTGACCAGAAGTTCCGGTATTGGTGGTGTATATTGGAGCATTTGATATGAGTACTCGCCCAAATACTCGGTATCGGCACAGATAACGATACTAGTTTCGGTACCAGTGCATCCCTAGTTCTCATAGATGGGGCACTGATGTGTAGGCACTTTCAGCACAGTTGAGACTTGCACCGCTCGATGTCAAAATACAAAATAGCCGCGGCTGTGGGATTGGCGTAAGTATACATCTATGGAGGGGGAGGGTGGGTTAGGTTAGGTCAGGGGAAGGGGCAAAAAGCATATGGGCACTTTTGTTGTGAAAAAATCAATCCCCTCTGGTGATCAATGTACATTGCAAAGATTTTAACAAACTTTGTTGCAGATTCCTCCCCGTCAATTTTCTGAAGAAAAAGCTATTTGTTGCAACACGTCTATTCCAGACTGATTCCTGAATGGGGGGCGGGTTCATTATAATCATCTGGTGCACTCTAATGAGGAAAGTTGTGGAGTCGGCATCCCTTTAGAGGTAGTTAACCTTTCAGGAGAATCTCACCAACAATTATTATTATACAGGATTTATATAGCGCCGACAGTTTGCTCAGCGCTTTACAATATAAGGAAGACATTACAGTTACAATACAAGTCAAGTCTAGATGGTAAGGAGGGCCCTGCCCCTGAGAGCTTGCAATCTAAAATTACATTTCTATTTCAGGTATGCCGTAAACATTACTTGTATCTTAGTGCAGACTTCGAGGAAATCAGTGAACCAATCACATAAGCAGGAAATTAAATTTCTAGGGCCATTCCGTCTACTAACGGTGTAGAGAAAGCCTCCAGGTGGCCATATTGCATTACATTTTGTGAACAGTTTTATAAAATGACAGCGGCTTCAGATTAAAATAGAAAGGTCGTTGTTACTGATAATAAATTACAAGATGGCTTTTGTAGCTTTTTATGCTATATTAATTTTTTTAGCGAAAGTGGAGTTTTCCTTTAATATATATTTCAGAGAGCTAAGGAAATATATTTGAAAACGTAATCAAGAGGTGACTTTCTCCTTGCTAGGACTTTATACACACAATCCCATTCACCATGATGAGTTTTTAGGACTGGAGCTTTACAGTGCAGTGAAAAGCAGAGCAACTTCAACTTTGTTAGTGGCCCCAGAGTTGCTCTCAGGAGACATGATAACAGTTCACCATCAGAGTCCACCTGCTTCTGATCACCAGAAGTCCCTCTTCTAGAGGTTTTCTACTTTCTTGTTTAAATCCAAACTTTAGGCAAGCATCTAAATACACAGCCGAAATACTGCCGAAGAATTGGCATTACTGATCAGGCAGTATTCTGATCTAGACGCCCCAAGAAGACAGTACAGCCAGGTCTGTGACCTTCCAGCTTACTACATTACAATTACTGTATACAGCAAAGTCTAAGGCCCCATTCACACTGCGCGATTCGCAAATCACGCGTTTGTCGAACAGTTTGCATTTTGCGCGATATCGCGCAAATGCTTGCATTGAGCAAGCTAGAATCGTGGCAAAATCCGCTCCAAAAAGGGTCCTGCTGTAGCGACGCACGGCCCGCGACAGCAGGACCCTTTGCCCCATTGCCAAGCATTGGAGAGCGATATCGCGCGGTAAATAGCCGCGATATCGCGGGAATTACCGCGTGATAAATCGCTCAGTGTGAACGGGGCCTAAGACAGCTTATGATTGGTGGACAAAGAAAGAGCAGCGGTACATTGACGGGTTTATAATTATGTTATGCAAACTTTCAGCACTCGGCATTGCAGCAGCGTCTGACTGACTTATAGCACAACCCCTCCTCCTAGTTTCTGCCCTCTTCAATGATGGATTGCAGGAAGCTCATATCAGGAGGAATTAGATGCGTATGCCAACTACATGTAATCATATATTTAATTACTATTTTAATAAATCCATTACTGTATTCTATGATTTGTTTTATATCTGAATGGAATAGTCTAAAGTAAACTTCTCACTTTGCTCTTATTGGAAAAAAACATAGTGAATAATAAAAACAAAAAACAGTAGTTGCCTCGGCCACCAAAATGTTTTTCTGCTATGATATGACATGTAATATGGCCCCCCTGGGGGCATTCTGTACACAGTTGGTATATGGAACGCCCCCAGAAATGTTGCTTTTTCTGTGATTGGCTGGCTGATCTTCCCAGAGACAAGCTGCATTTTCAGCATTCCCTACAACAGGAATTTCATTGTTAGTGAAATAGGGCTAATTACTATTACTATTAATTATTATTAGGAAAAAGACTCCTCCCATTCAGGAATCAGACCCCTCCCATTCAGGAATCAGTCCTCCCATTCAGGAATCAGTCCTCTCCCATTCAGGAATCAGTCCTCTCCCATTCAGGAATCAGTCCTCTCCCATTCAGGGATAAGACCCTTCCCATTCATGAATCAGTCCTCTCCCATTCGGGAATCAGACCCCTCCCATTCAGGGATAAGACCCTTCCCATTCATGAATCAGTCCTCTCCCATTCGGGAATCAGACCCCTCCCATTCAGGAATCAGTCCTCTCCCATTCAGGAATCAGTCCTCTCCCATTCAGGAATCAGTCCTCTCCCATTCAGGAATCAGTCCTCTCCCATTCAGGGATAAGACCCTTCCCATTCATGAATCAGTCCTCTCCCATTCGGGAATCAGACCCCTCCCATTCGGGAATCAGTCCTCTCCCATTCAGGAATCAGACCCC